CGTGTGAGAGAGAAATTGAAAGAGTAAAGTGCAGGAGTGTGCCGAGCTTGCGTGTGCAAGAAAAGAGCAAACAGCGAGCTTGTGTGTACAGAACAAGGCCCACGGGTGAGATTGCGCGTGCAAGAGAAATTACTGCGTGTGCAAGAGTGCATAAGAGTGCATGTGTGCACAAAAGCATGCAGGTGAGATTGCATGTGCAAAAATGATTGATTGGATCAACAGCAACATGCTGGAGACCAGAGTTGTGTGTGCGGGAGGGGTCAGGCATGTGTTGTGTACACACTAAACAGTAGTTCTCAAACTTTTCGGCATCACGCCCCCTTTTTGATTTTTTAAAAACCCACATGCCCCCCCCCCCCAAAAAATAGCAAAACTTGTTGAGCAAAAAAAAAAAAAGGAACTGACCAGGGCAGCAAAATTTGAGGGGCATGGGGAGGCTGGGTCACCTCGCATCCCCCCTGGTATTTCTTCACGGCCTCCATGGGGGCACGCCCCCCAGTTTGGGAACCTGTGCAATGTGTCAAGTGACTGCTTGGATTGTATCAAGGAACAGTGTCCGTGCATTGTGCATATGCTAATAACTGATGGTGGGTGCAAGAATTTGGGTGGTATGAATGAAGAAGACAGAGAAAGTTGAGAGAATGATCATGAGAAACCATGGCTGGGGGAGGTCAGAGCTTCCTGAGTGGCATCTGTGTTTTGGGTTCAAGAGATGACACATGTTGAGTATGTGTAAGGACACAAATGTGGTCTGTGTCCATGGAGTTTTACCTCTGAGTGAGCAATGAGCAAGTAGAAGGCATGCCAAGTGGAAGAGTGAATGCAAGTGTATTGTGCATGAGGATACACAATATTACCAACCCCAGCCTCTCAACAGGCATGAAATCAGGCCCTCCAAAAATCATGAGACTGGCTTAAAATTCAAGAGATTTTAAAAAATACACTGTATTCTTTTCCACGTTTTCAGGCTTTTCTCCATAATCACAGTGGCGGATTACTGCAAAAGCCCTATGGCCTCTGCGTCTGACCGTGAGAACTGACTCTGACCACAAGAACCAGAAATCAGTGGTACCGCTACAGCTGGAGATGGGAGCCATGTATGTGGGTTGTTATTAATCCTTCAAGCCAGGAGGTGCTGCAGCCCCCAGACACCCTCACTCCAGCACCTACATCAGACATTTCCTTTTTTACAAAGGGACGCTGAAATTTACTTCGTGGACTACCAGGTTTTAGACAGTGTGCGGTGAGCATGCACAGAGTAGGAGGAAGAGATTAACGTAAGAAATTTTAGAGAGAGGCTTGAAATAAGACATGGATCCCACACATCCTTGAAAAGGTGGCTGCACTTTCACAGATCCAGCTCCTGGCAGTCAGTAGTTTATAGACACCCAAAGCATGGGTCTGTGCCTCTGACCATCTTGACTAATAGCCTTCGTGGCCCTATTCCTCCATGAACTTATCTAATTCTTTTCTGAATCCACTTCTACCTTTGGTCTTCACAACATCCCCTGGCAGGGAGTTCCACAGGTTGCCTGTGCGTCATGTGAAGAAATACTGCCTTTTGTTTGTGCTAAACCTGCTGCCAATTCATTGCATTGGGTGACCCCTGGTTCCTGTGTGGTAAGTAAGGGTATGTCTACACTCCCCCGCTAGTTCGAACTAGTGTGGTAATGTAGGCATTCCGCACTTGCAAATGAAGCCCGGGATTTGAATTTCCCAGGCTTCATTTGCAAGTGCGGTATGCCTACATTACCCCGCTAGTTCGAACTAGGAGGGTAGTGTAGACATACCCTAACAGCCTTATTGATATGTGCATGCTACTCATGATTTTATAGACCTCTATCATATCCCCCCCTTAGTCCTTTCTTTCTGTGAAGGAACAATCCCAGTCTTTTTCAGCTCTTCTCATATGGAAGCTGTTGAACATTTTACACTCAAAAAGCCTCACCCAGCAGGCCCCTCCATGCCTGAAGGTTGCAAGCAAAATAATGACAGGGGGAGGGGTGGAGAGTGAGAAATTTTGGTCAAGGGCATCAGAGGAAGCCCAGCTCCTTATGAGAGGAGAGCCAATGGAATCCAAACACACACACAGAGGAGAAACGGCATGAAATTAAATTTCACTTCCACACAAGGTTGAACTGGGACAGCTGAGCTTTGATCCACGGACGTGTTTCCAGCCTTGAGCGTCAGACTAACCAAGCAGCCCCCCCAGTTCTCTGCACGGGTCGACGTTGCCTTGTGTTTCCATATTGATTACAATCCCATTTTGATGTTGTGCTTTTTCAAGGTGGTGCTAGATACCAGGGCTCTTCGCTAACACCCCTCTTCACCGCAGCAGGGAATTGGACAAGTCTCCTTCACCTGCTTTTCCAGGCAAAGCCGCGCAGGGAGGCGAAATCGATGCCCTCTAAGGCAGGAGGAAAGCCCAGGCATCCTGTATTCAGTCCTCTGTCCTTTGTGCAGATCCCCTGCCCCCATGCAGCCTGGAAGGGGAGAGGACGGGTCTGCAAGCACGCAGGCAGCTGTGTTTGGAACGCTTTTCCGGTTGAGATGTAGGAGGTGGACAGAGGAGAGAGCAATGTCTCTGCTCTGACAAGTCCTCCCCAACCCTTGCAACTCTTCTCTTCCTCCAGCACCAGGCAGGCCAGTGACTCACTGATCCCAGCACCAGGCTAATAGACAGGGGAGGTGGGAGGAGAGCCTGTGTTTTTCCTTGAATTAGCAGGTCTGTTTCCACCCCCTCCCTCCCGTAGGCCCTCCGGCCAGGCTGCCGGTTAGTATTCCCCTGGGAGGAGGCCAGGTCTGAGCAGTGACCGGGCCCGGAGCTAACAGAAGCGACCAGCAGAGAAGGGGTTTGGAGTGTTTGGGACCAGCGGCTAGGGCTCCTCCAAGGAGCAGCCTGTGTGTGTCAATGCATTGTAAAGAACCCAGGCTCCTCCAGCATGGCAGCCACCCCGGCAGCTTTCATTCAGCTCCCTAATCCACCGGCTCCAGCTACATCTTCCTGCTCTCTGCTTTCTGGGCACGTCTGGTCTCCTTGCAGACAAACACCCCTCAGGGAGTCTGGGCAGTCCTCTCCCGCCCCCCGCTGCCCTGCTGTATCACTCTAGCGCCCTCCCTTCGGGGCACCCTTCCTTCTGCCCTCCAGGGCCCGCTTTCAGTAGCCTCCTGGACAGCTGGGCTCCCCAGATCCACGGCAGGATCTCTGTGTCCGACACCCGTTCAGACGGAGCAGCTCCCCCTGCCCATGCAGACCAGCAATATGGGCACCCCTGTTGCACTCCCTTTCTTCTGCCACCCAAATGTTTGCAGGAGCTGGAGCGGCTGAAGCAAAAAACTTTCTTTCAAAGGACCCGGGATCAGTAGCAGCTTCTCTTGCTGCAGGGTCTTTGGCACAGAAAGAGGAGGACGGGGTCAGGGTGGCATGAGGCTGTGGCTTTTCAGCCTGGAGGCCATGCTCCCTCACTGACCCACCAAAACTGTGGCCGTGGGACACAGTAGCAGATGGTTTCAGACGGGCGCAGACACCCTTCTTTTCTTTACGACAATAGCGTGAGGTGGGAGCACACTCTGGAAAGGGCCAGGAATCCCTGCAGAAGGGTCCCTGCACCCTAGGCCAGGGAAGGCCCGTGGTGCTCAGAATTAGGGATGTTAAATATCGGTTAATTGAATAG